GCAGTACCCCAGCCCTCATGCTTCCTTCCGGTGACATAGCAGCTAGGCACTGAAAGGGTGTTACAGCTGTTCCGATATTAGGGGTTACATCACAGTGCCCCACGAGATGCGGCCACAAACCCACTCACATCACCATCCACATTTTCCTGTTTGTCAGGAAAATATTTCTGGGCGAAGGACTTCGTTGAAACTGAGGAACTTGGGATGGATAGGCCATGTCACTTTGGTGGGTATGGACAGTACTGTCCACTGACAAGTGAAGCCGATCCGTATTATATAACTTCGTCCCTCTCCCTTCTAAGAGGACGAAAACCGATCGTTCCACAAAAGAGGTTTCTCCAGAGACAGTCTCCGATGCGGTGGCCTTTCCTGGTACCGTCTACAGATGCCTATACAGTTGCGCTAGATGTACGACATACATCGAGAGCGATGTATGTAGTGTGCCATCATATAACGACCCGATTGAAAGTTACGTTAGTCCTGCGCACGATCACACCCATCCCACGTCCCAATGTCAGGTATCAACTGCGGCGCGCCGTGTAGTCGCCGTAAGGCAGCTGCTCACACACTTGCAGGTGTGTGAGATGGACCAAGTGGTTAGAGCGCGAATTTACTGACCGGAGGGCCGTGGTTCGAACCCGACCTCTTCCACTCGACTTGCCCTGTCTAGACTTGGGCAACCTGGCAGTATTCCAGTCTTCGTGCTTCCTTCTGGTGACATGGCAGTTAGGCACCGGGAGGGTACTACGGCTAAGCGATTATTCATTTATTCACATGCTATTTCGAGCCCACAAAGTAAGCCAGAGTAACGAAGGAGCGCAACTGCCCCGGGTAGATGTGATTTGGATTACGAATACCCAGACCGACGCCCATGCTGTGAGCGATCCATCTAATGGGGACGTATTTCGTGGGGTTTCTTAACACTGCCAAAAGCCTTCAAATAGTTTGCCTCATAAAAGAGAAAACTAGCAACCAAGTGGAAAATAACGGCGGAGTTGTGTACCGGAAGTTTGGATCAGTAGGTGTCGATGCCATCAAATAACAGGATGACGAGGTATAAGGCTGAAGGACTAGTTGGTCATATTTTCACTTCTAGGCTGCAACTTTGGAATCAAAATACCATTTTGTTCGCCCAACAGAATCAAACACATCAAATTGATTACTTTGCTGCTAATTGATGTGCCGGGCATCTATGAGCCGCATCGTCCAGAGAGATTGTAAATCGAAATGGTTCAGCCGTGCCTAGCTGTTATGCCACCAGAAGGAAGCTCGAGGGCTGCGATGCCGTCAGGTTGCTCAATCCTAGACAGAGGAAGCCGAGATGCAGACGTCGGGTTCGAAACACGCATCTTTCGGTCGGTAAATTCGTGCTCCAACCACGGAGTCATCTCACCCAGAGATTGATTGCACTCTACCAAGTTTGATAAATTTAAGTAGCTGTTCACCAAATTCATGACCAAAACGAATACGGGTTGATCCTCTCAGGGAGGGGGCGATTGAAGGGTCTCATTCAAACGGACTAAAAAAGTGATGGCTTCAATCGGCCAACCGAAAATGGTCCGCATGGATGATAGTTCTCATAAAGGGAAATATTATTGAAAAGCCGTACATATGGAAACTACGGTACAGGACCCCCGACCACAAAGAAAAGTTTCGCTTTTATACCATTGGGAGAGGTTTTTCGCCATTAAATGTGATCTTAGCTGAGAGTCGGAGGACGGTCTCTCGATTTCAGGCCGGAGCCACATGACCCGAGTGAAGTGACCTCAGCGGTTGGAGGGCGTCCTCTCTTGTGAAGAGTAACCTATACATAGCAAGCTGCGTCGATGGTCAAGTGTTGCGCTCAGACAACAAGTATCTCTTACGTCTAAGGATGGACCGCTAGTCAAGTTGAGGCCCCCATGCAAGGATTCTGAAAAAAATATATGACTGAAAGACAACAAGCTTGAGGTCATCAAAAGCCGCATTGACCAAAACGAAGTATACGGGAACAGAAGAATCGTATTTTTGGAGTTATTTTGGCAGCTAAGCATGGATAGATAACTGGGGGTAGAAAATTGCGCCATACAAGAGGGGGGCGTCGCTACGTTCAGGCTTGTCAGAAAGACGGAGGTCTGTAGTCATCTTAATCACGAAGGGCTCAGTTCAAAGGAGACCACAGACAACAAGCGATAAAGACTTACACACGGTCCACGGCAAACTGGTCCACAATTGTGTCTGCCAGAACATTTGAAGTACCCCAGGCGGTTTGGTCAGAGATCCCTATGCCGTCTGGTGGCAGAGGAGGAGCTTCACCCAGAGAGCGCATTACGGCCATGCCAGCGTCAAACATCGAGACGATAACCTCACGAAGCTTCAGCTGGTTTTCCTGAAAGGGTTGTGTGAAAAGGGACAGTTCATCGACCACTGTGGGAAACCATCTACGTAGATAACAACACGAATAAAAGCTGGATTAGGCAACAGAGATAATCGCGGCCCACAACCCACCTTGATTTTGTCCAACGCCTCCAGATGTGCACGCAGCCGTACTAGTTCGACACGTAAGTTGCATGCCTCCATCTGAGCGGCAAACTTCGCCGTTCGCTCAGCATTCACTTCCATTTGCAACTCCGCCACGCGCTTGGCCAACGATGCATTATTGCTCTTCAACGAGGCCGCACAAATTGAACGATTGACTGGGGAATGCGATCAAAAAAGATATTTGGTTAGCATTTACTTACTGGGGCAGAAAAAATAATCACCAGATCACAGAAATTTGAGGAGTCTAGAGGATGAAAAAATGACAGTAAGAGTGACTGCTTCCTACGGATAAAGTGCACCCACTCCAGTAACAGGAGGCTATCCACAGGGGACGGTCTGTAAATTGAAGTTTCAGGGAGAAAACAAAAATTTGGGCCTGAAAACAGCACAATAGAAACATATTCACGATGCTACGTGTTGTTAGCTCACGGGCCGCGGAAAGGTCCATGGTGTAGATGAAAAGTGGGAGTTTCATAGTTTGCTGTCTTTGGAAAGCATCAAGCAGACAGAAGTTCGGTCAGGCAAAGGTGGACGGTCATTTGGAATCAGTGGTTGCTTCCTCAAAATCGAATGGAATGAGTGTGATGGACAGTATTACAAGAGGGCAGAAGTTCGGTCAGGCAAAGGTGGACGGTCATTTGGAATCAGTGGTTGCTTCCTCAAAATCGAATGGAATGAGTGTGATGGGGGGACAGTATTAGTCGCCGCGGCAAGTCGAAAAAACACAGAAAAGCCATATCTCACCAACTTGACAACTATCAGCCATGAGGGTATCGAACGAGAATTTAACCTTGTGAACTGCTTTCTCCATTCATAATAAATATTTCGCTTCTGACCTAAGCTGTGATTTCCCCCAATTTTCACTTCCAAGAAGCGATACACACAAGCACATTTCTGAGATTGAAGTGGGCTCCATTTTTACAACCCACATTTCTGTTAAAAGCCGGCAGTCCAAATTGGAAGTACCAGGTAACCAAATGAACTGCTTTCAAAGTATTAAGCCAAGTAGTCCAAACGTCCTCCTTTGCTGGACACCTCTCAACTAAAACCTGCCAGGAAGGCCAAAGGAGAGAAACCAGACTAAGAGTACCGAGACCCCGTACTACGAGTAATCGTACTACAAGATGACTTAGGGCTAAAGTCGTAGCGTGCTGTGCGATGGGAGTGACAGGACAGTAAGGCGTTTCCCTCAAGCGGCCGGCATGTTCATATTTACGGAGGCAGCAACACTATCTTCCTCCGAGAAAGAACGGATTAGAAGAGGTCGAACATAAAAACCGCACACTTCGATCACCCAACAGTTGACCGTGACCACTGATACACCAAGGAATGCGGTCGAAACGCCCCTAAAACGAGACTTTGGTGTTGTGCAAGAGGCATATGCTGTGGCAGCCGTACTAGGAGTCAGAAAATAATGTCTTACGCCCTGTCTCCTCCGGTTAAGCCAGCCCCTTTAGCTAAGTTAGACTATTAAGTCATCGGATTTGGACAGGCTCCCAAAGAAATCCTACTGCCCACTGCCTCGCGGGTCAGGCTTTTGAGTTAGAGGCTTGAGGTGAGGTACACCAACAAAATCCCCTTCTCCGACCTGAGCAACCGGGAAGTGTTATTTGTTCACACATTTATTTGTCCCTCCCCAATCCCTTCCCATCATACGAAGAAACGTTGCCGCGTCAGTTGATCGCCAGTTATCTGACCTATGTGTTTTATACACCCCGCTACCTGAACTCACGAGATCCTTTCTACATAAGAGCATCCAAAGCCCATGCTTTATGTCAAGTTGGCAAACAGGCAGTGCCGTTCCTTGTGGGAGACACGATGTACACGTCGACACTTCGTGCTTGTGATGGACCATAAACCACTGTCGGCTTTATTTAGTCCCAAGAATGGTATCCCAGTCTACAAAAGCTAATACCGGCAACGACGAAGCCGTTCAGTTGTAATACCCTTTCGGGTGTTACACGCAACAGAAGGAAACACGAGGGATGCGATACTTCCATGTTGTCCCAGCTTAGACAGGAGAAGTCGAGAGGCAGAGGGGGGTTCGAATCACGGACCTTTCAGTCAGTAAATTCGCGCTCCAACCACTGAACAATCTCTCCCGATTCTGCTGGGCTACAACTTTACCACAAAGTTTGCCTCAACCGAGAAGAACGGGCAGGCCGATGCGCTAACGCGCCTATTTACTTCCCATGAGTTGGAAGCAGAAGACACGGTCATAGCAACCGTTGCCATCGAACCAGAAGTCCGTGCTGTGGTGTTGGAGACCATGAACCAGCTACCCGCGACTTTTGACACGGTCCGCGATGCCAGTGAAAAATGGCAGCAAACTGCAGAAGGTAATGGAGCACGATCAATCCATCTGGTAGACAACCTGTCCATCAGAACTCTGGAAGCTTTTTTCAACGAGGAAGTGTGCTATCTTTCATCAGTGGCTGTCTTCTCTTTAGTGACCGAATTGTCATTCTCGGCGAACTTCGCCACCGGGCCCTAGCACAGTTCCACGATGGGATAAGCCGCATGAAGGTCCTTGCTGACAGATATGTTTATTGACCTGGTATGTATGAGCACGTTGAGCAGGTATCTCGGATTTGTTTCTGATGTGCGGCTGCCCAGAAGTTACCCAGCCGCAGCCTTGGCCACAACCGGAAAAACCATGGTTGCGCATCCCTGTGGATTTTGCCGGGCCAGTTAACGGACGAAGCTTTCTCATCGTTGTCGATACATTCAGTAACTGGCCTGAAATCCTTATTGCGTCTGAGACAACAACGATGGCAACCATCACTAAACTGCGGTGTTTGTTTTCAGTATTCGGTATTATATGTCCAACAACAGTATTCAGTTCAAAGTCCATCAATTCGGCGAATACGTTCAAAGACAGGGCGTAACACAGGCTACTTCTCCACCATTCCATCCCTAATCCAACGATCAAGCTGAACGGTTTGTAGATAACTTTTGACGCGCCTTGCCAAAAGCAGGGGGAGGGTGTTGTGTCTTGATGTACGGTAGTGCAACTCTGTGCCGGTCCCTTGGCTTCCTGCTCCGCCCACTATGATATAGCAAAAGGCACGGTAGCTCTACACAGCCCTTTATGGAGACAGGAAAATCATTACAACTGTATATATATAT